GCGGCCGAAGTTTTCATCGCTCAAACGTGAACGTCGAACGTCGAGCGATGTATCTTGTAAGCTGCGCTCGACGTTCGACGTTCACGTTTGAGAGATGGAAACTTCGGCCGCAAACTCGTTATTATTATGCTTTTTTAATGGATTGAATATTAGGTTTTGATTAGATAAACCTGCCTTAGACGGATCTTATCGGATTCAGTAGTAGATTTGGAGGATTTTATGGTATTGCCAATGGTAAATTTAAGTGTAATAGCTTCGAGTCAATCCATTTTAACGTTGATTTTGAGAGATTTCATATGATTGTCGGATCTTCATGGGATTTGGTGGATTTTGTAGGAGGTGTGTTCTTTTAATAAAATGACTACAGTGGTTTTTTTTGTGGATTCGAGGTGAAGACAATATGCGAATTTTAATATAGTTTAAAGCAGTTTTAAGAAAGAAAATAAGAGATTTTACAATGAAATTCAACTTTTAATCTTTTGAAATTTCCAATTTGAGAAAGAAACAATTAGAATTATTTAAAAAAAAAAAATAATAATATTATCGGAGGATTTTTCTCTATCCAGTTTCTTCCTTTCGCTAAGATTTTGATTAAATATAGGAACCGAAAATAAATAAATCCGGTTTAAAATTACTTCGAGTTTTATCGTCAAGAAACAGGGATGTTTGGAGTGAGGACGTTTACCTCTTCCGTTTATGTAACAATAAAACAGCCGATACATTCGTAGATATTTAGAAATGAAATAGTGGGAAGGGGGGGATAAAAGAGTAAAAAAGCTTTAGTCGCTCAATTTCTTCCAGTTGGTAGTCGAGTCTCGTTCCATTGGCAAACAACTAGAATACTTTATACGGTCTTTGTGTGACGAAAATTTCAAAAAACTGCGACTCAAATCATCACCCCGACTTTCGACGTTTCCATAAAAACGTTTTTTTTTTATGTCTCCAGAAGAGGGTGGACCGAAAACGAATTCCTAAAATTCAGCGACGACATTAAAAAAAACGTTTATTAACTATATCCTCTTAGAGATAATTAAACGGGATTTTTTTATATTGTAAAATACAGTCGACCCCCCATAACACTGTTGATTTTTCCGTTTTATATGAATTCCATGTTGTACGAGTCACTTAGATTTTACAAATACGCGAGCCGTTCGCAGCCCGGCACACGTATTTGTAAAATCTAAGTGACTCGTACAACATGGAATTCATATAAAACGAAAAAACCAACAGTGTTATAGGGGGACGACTTGTATGATTATTTTAAAAAACTTTGTCTTCTGTGACGTTTCGTTCTTGGTCACCCTTGTCTGTAGAAATTCCATTAAGAGTTAAACTTAATTATATTGGAATGAATGTAAATATATAGAAGGAAGTTCGATAGTGGTTTACGGAGGTAAACAGGAGAAAATGTCTTCTATACGAACTTTAAATTTGGGGTAATCGTCCCCTTTTCTTACAGATCGTTCGAGCGAGTTGTTCGTCTGGCATTCCGACGTCCTTTCGACCGTAAAATAATTAGTTAGACTTTATCCATGTGGAAAGGAGCCCGTGCCGACTGAGTTTTGAGAAATTCGAGGAGTCCAATCTAGGTGAAGAGTAACTGGACTGTAAAGTTAGAAAAAATTCTCCGACGTCCGAATTATCGACGATCGATTCTTCTCGTAAATAAAAAAAAAGAGGGGAGGGGGAGAATTAATTGAAATCCTTGCGCCCGGAAATTATTTGTTTAGAGGAGAAACGGTGGAAAATACCCCCGCTCGACAAAGGAGTAATTAGTATTCGTTTATCGTTCGGAACGAAACCGGATATTTATCCCTCTCCAGTGACGTCAGGGGATGAAGGAAAATGTTTACGATTTAAATATTACGCGGTAAATTTAGTCTCGAGAGATTACGACTGAAAAGGGTGAAAGGATGAGACTCGCTTCCTTCACAAAATTATTATTCGAGACCCGATCCCCGCTCGCCTCTTTCTAAAGTTATAGCCACGCAAACGGGATATAAATATTATGCAAAGGGGTCTTCGGGGAGCGTGTTCTACTTGACTTTCGGTGTAGACAACTGCGTATATATTATTCTCTTTCCCTAACACGTTGCGCGAATCAATTCGGTGTTACACGAAAACATCCCCCAAATTTCTTGATGCGAAAACTCGTTTAGTTCATCGGAAAAAAAGACGAGATTCCTATTATTGAACACAGAAAAGAATGAGGATTTCTGTGGATACAATAGTAATACATAAATAGGAAATGGGAGTCGTTTACTATGGGAAAATGTCAAACTCGAATAGACAATTATCCATAGATCTATCATTAGCTTTGGCACTTAATTACGGCTAATCGGGTGACTTATTGACGTATTATTGGGAGGTATTCATCAATCACGGATGCGATCAAATTATAAGATAGTTAATTAACTCCGTAAATTCATATTTTATTTTTAGTAAATTCACATTTTAGTTTAGTAAAATTTATCTGAAATGCCGCAGATATTGTTAAAGAACAGTAAGTAAACGAGCGTAACATTTGTTACCTTTAGAACGAATATCTTCAAAGTTAATGTTTGAATACTCTTTTCAAATTAAACCTTATCCATCTAAGATTTCTCTCCTTACTCTTCCTTCACTAATGGAATTGATTTAATTCATTGCAAACATTAAAATTACATTTTAGCTAACCTTTAGAAACGACCTATAAAAGCTCGGAAGTCAATTAGAATGGTAAATACATAAATATATCCACAAGCGGAGGTAATTCAGGAAGGCTTTTCACAAATTTCTCCAAAGTATTACTAAAAATTCATGTTTTAAAATAGTATTTTAGATTCTAGTATATACTAAACAAGATATAATTATTTAAATTTATACAGATTGAAGAGGGGGAACGAATATATTTTCCCTAAGACATTCGAATTCGAATAAAGTGAACGAATGTTTTACACTACAACAACGTCTAATTGTTTTCTAATTTCATTATAATTTTTCATAGACGAATCCACGTTACATTATCATAATTAAACAGCAAAACGATACGGTAACTCCCAATCTACAATATATTCACGTATCCGTAGAGAGAGAGACATTGAAACGAGATGGGAGAAACTCATTGTCTCGTTTCGCTTTAATACTTCTTATGTGCAGTCAAATGTTAATTTCAAATCGGTCTTTTGTATTATTGTTAATGAATTTTCAGGAAGAATTTATTTTCCATTTCGAATACGAAAATATCTTCCTGATTAATAAAATAATTGATCGAAGCAACGAGAAAATCCATGGAAGATCGGCTCGCTTGTTTTTTCGAAGTACGAAGAATGAAGTCAGAATCTATCCTGGAAAATTCTTTTTGGAAAGGAAAGAAACAATTTTCCAGGATAGATTTAGTAGTGTAAGACTTAGTTTTCTTCTTACGAGCTTTGATTTTCCCTCTCCTTTTTTTTCTCTCGTAAAAATCCCCAACTTTCGTGACGAACGAAGCAAGAATGCCAATCTCTAGAGTAAGGTTGCTCTTTGGAATTTATTCGAAAGCCACAAAAAAGAGTAAATAAATAAATAAATATAATAATTTAGATTCGTTTTAAACCAGAAATTAAGTTTTTTTAACATTAATTATTCTCTTTTTTTCCCATTTTAAAATATTTCTTTACCATTCTGGAGTATCGATCGAACGTTTTATAAAAAGTGGAGAGTGCGGTTCTTCTTTTTATTTTCTAAATAAATTATTGTTTGTGTAACCTTAAAGCTTTTTGGAATTCATTTCTGGAATTTCTCGTAGATTTATCTATTTAGCAAAGCATTTAAACCGTGGCTGAACGTGTTAATTCGTTTGTACTCGACGAATAAGGTGAACATTCTTATGCCAGTTCGCCTTTTTTTTTTAGTGACGAAACTCACCACGTCACTACTCGTTTCGCAGAGGCGGAGGTGTTTTTCGCTTTGCATTCCCTCTAATGGAAGAGGTTCCGACCGACAAAGAGTTAAACAATTTATATTCGTGGGTGAGCGAGATTCTAGAGCGCTTCTGGAATTCATAATATTTTCCCAATCCGCGATTTTTATCCTAGTTAAGTTTTCTGTTTTTCCTTTCTTTTTCGCTCCATTTGCGACGTCACACGACCGTAAATCTTATCCGATTTAACTGAGTTTTATGGGCACTTCCCAAAACCGAAAAATGCCTAACAATTCGTTGGTTTTCGACCGACACGAACGACGAATTTATATGAAAAATCGACATTTCGAGAGATAAAACGACTGTAAGACACGTTGCACGATTTCCTTCTTCGTACTCTGATGACGTATTAAAGAAAATCACTTCCGTTACGTCATCACCGAGTAGACGAACAAGAAAATCAAACCGGCGATCGAATAATATACACGTTCTTAGGGTGCCAATAGGGTTTTTATACTTTATAAATTTGTGACTGGAATCAAACTCGGGCTAGTTAACTTCTGGAAGGAAGAGGTGCGGTTGGAAATCCGCACGTGAGAGAAGAAGGTTCCACCCGCCACCCACTCGTGACACGCGATAGACGTCTCTCCCCGTACCGGAGTGTCGGATAAACGTCACTCCAAACGACGTCCACAAACCGTAGTGTCACATACGGGCCGTATTTTCCCACGCCACTCCTTTCGTACAAGGAAACGAGAAGAGAGACGTGCGACTGGCCGGAAGTTTTTAAGTTCGTCTCTTCCGGGGAGGGAGAAAATCGATTTCCTCATTCCTCTTTTTCGTTAGAAAGTAATTACATAACGAGGGAGGGTTGTCGAAAGTTAAGATCCACTCGTCGTCCGTTCCGTCTTTCTAACACCACGATCCGGACGGGGTAGTAGAAAGGCAATTACGGAGACGTCGACAGGTGAGAAGGGTGAACGACCGACTCGGTCCGGAAATCGTCCTCCTCTTCTCCTTATTACTTCCCGCATCACCCTACAGGTGGCGCGACACCACACTGCACCACCGCCGGTCACGTGACGTAAGAGGTTAGCAGCGGGCCCGCCGAATGCGGGAAAGAAAGAGGAGTATAAACGACGAACGGTCGGGTGTGTCCGAGGGAAGAAAAGAGAAACGAGGACGGACGAAACGGAGGAGGAAAGAGGGATTACGTTTTCAGTCGGATCGGCACGGTCGCGTCACACCGGACCGGTATTCGTCCGCCCGCGAGTGGTCTGGCGGCAGTGGAAAAACGTCGAGTCCGTTAGCCGCTTTGCTTGCCGAAGCCCATTAGAGGCAGTGCGAACGACAATGGATGCGTCTCGGATAATCGCCTTGTGTGCCACGCTCCTGTCAGGTGAGTGACGTCTTTCGGGTCCGTCATAAGCAATTTTCGCGCCCTCCGAACAAAGGACGCGGCGGCCGGACGCAAAAACGGCCGGCGAGAATTTTCGGCGGACGTGGCGCCACTTTTCGAAAACGTGTCGGCAAAGGGTCGCTTTGTTTCCGTCCGCGTTTCCTCCGTCGTCCTCGATCGTTACGTCGCACCCCGACGCCCTGGCGCGCTCGCGTCGCGTCGCCGCTCGGACCAACTCCCCCCTCTCTCTCTCTCTCTTTATTCCCTTCTCTTCGGGCCCGAGCGGGCCGGGTGGATGGTACCGCCGCGGCTCCACTCCCGCCCTGACCGGAAATTAATTTTCCTCATCCGAATTGGAATGGAAACTTAATCGATTCGGACTCGTCGGCGGTCAATTCTACTACACCCCCGTTCTGCGGATCCGAACTTAGTTTTTCACTTCTTATTCGCCTGCCAGTTTTTCCGTTCGGGGGATGGGGAAATCGATCGTGCCTATTATTTCTCGGTAATAGAACGTGTTTTCGTTGCGGACGAGTCGTCCACCCTCGATCGCCCTTCCGTGCTCGACGCGGGGTCGACGAGTCGAAAAACGACGGAGGAAACCCGTCGGTTTCGCTAACAATAGTATAACGACGATGTTCGGACGACCCCCTCGGACGGGGAATCTACTCCCCGCCACCCGGGAGGCCATTTCCGGTCGGGGGAGGGTAAAAGCCCGGAACCGCGGATGGCGCGCGCGCGCCGTGCGCCGCNTTCCAGCCCTAAAAAAAAAAAAGGTTAAAGGTATGTTGAAGATTTCTCCGCTCGCAACAAAGAATAAATTTTGAAGAAAATTGTTTATTTGTCATCAAACTCTTTGACTGAATTAATACTAATAAATAAAATAATAATAAAATATTGTTTGCGCTAAGGAAGACAGATTGAAAAATTTCACCGAGATACTTTCCTGGGATCGATACGAAATCGTTATAGATGCGTGATCGATTGATCGGGCCAACCCCAAATATATATTTTTTTTAAAGTACACAGAGATTTTAGTTTTTCTGTCCAGAGTTCGATCGATATATTTAGAATTTATTTAAGAGAAAAGAAGGGCAGAAAACATTTCTTCGGTCGCCCATCGACAATAAACAAACAGGTAGTATAATGGAAAAGTAAAACTGGAGGAACGTCGAACGGACTTGAATAATTTATCTGCATCCTCCAGAGCCGGATCCTGAGAGTAACTCCGTTTCTAAACAGTTCAGACACGAGAAAATTAGCACTTATCTTCCCTTACCTCCCCGCGGTGCCGTTTTCCCCGAGAAAATGCCGAAAGGAGTTTTTTCGGAGGAGAACGAAATCACTGTTAGGTTGCTGTAATGACAACATTCTGGGATTTCCAACGGCTACCGTTCGTCTCGGAGGATTTTCCTCTAGAATAGCTACTCGTTCCCGCCACTAAGACAATTAGTTTCCATATAGATGTTTAACACGCGGATAAAAAGCGGGTTTTTACGGTGTTAGATCTCCGAGTTGCCTGTGGCAATTTTGTAAAAGGAGATTTTACTCGGCCTATCTTCCGTATCCCGTTCCATTATGAGATTGAATTTCCTCGCTCAGAGAAATGCTACTAAATCGTGCCCCCGATGTTTACGTTTACGAATCGCCACCACCCCTTCTCGTTTTATAAGACCGGGACGAAATTTAACAACCGTTTCTGTATTCTATTCCGTATAAAATCTCATAGATCGTCTTTTACGTAACGTTACGAACGTGTCCGTTACGCAAATATCGATCCATCTTCCTACATAACCGTAATCTTTGTAGAAAATATTAACTGGTGTCATTATGGGCACATATTTTACAAACTGCCATTCCTCTTACGAGTATTCTCATTTAATAAAGGATATTATGTTACTACCGCTATGGAACGATTCGTAATTGTAATATTTGATGATTCAAAAGCGAGTGTTTAAAATTTATCGATTTTCCCGGCTCTTCAGTATATTATTAACATTAAAATTGGCTAAATATGGTACTATGTATGGTAACTTGTCACGCTGATTTCCGAATTAATATTGTTTCTCATAGCACTGTTACTTTAGCTAAAGATTTTTAAAAGAATTTCCATGCTATCTTGCTATTTTTCTTTAATATAAATATATTTATCAATTGTATAAAATTCAATTCCTCTTCCTTCTTCTTTTTCTTCGGTCATTACTCCAGTAATTCATACATTATTTTGAACTTTAACAATAAAAACATGTTTGTTTTCCATTAAAGAATATTTGTTAAGAAATAATCTCATTGAATATTTCAAGAGAATGAATTTAAATGCATTTTTTATTAAAGATTAACCCATATATACGCAGTGCGTATATGTTACGCCATTATCTGGTATATGATAAAAATTATTGGATGTTTGCCTATTTTAGTCGATGGAGGAAAGAATAAACAAGTCGTTTAATATGACAAGTGCCTTGCTTCTGCAATACGCTTTCCAATTTTTATCATTTTTAACCTCTTCCTTTTGGAAAAATTCTCTTTGCTAATAGGAATTCGTTAGAGAGTTCATTAATACAGAAATTAGATATACTCCGCAGATAACTGTCATTGAATAGCATTTATCTATTGATTCTTTACAAGAATTTTCGTTTCTTGTTGATACATTTGCGTTAGAATGAATACTTTTTTTTTTTACAAAAGCTTCTTTCAAATCTTAAGATCAATGTTTGTTTTGGAAGCGAGTCCCAAGGAAAGGAGCACATACACACACACACATACATATATAAAAAGAACTCTTTATTCCTTTGAAAGGTTTCCGAAGCAGAAGCAATTTTCAAAAAATTTACGAGTGTTCATAAATGTGTTCCGAACTATTCTGTAGTTCGAAATCCATTTTTTTAAATAAACAAGTCGGTTCTGGGATCCATAAAGCGAATTCCTGCTTGTGCTATCGTGCATAAATTGAAATATCGCTCACAGTAAAAAGGGTGGTAGGCAAAGATACTAAAACACTTTGTTGTTGTTTTTTTTTTCTGTGCAAGATAGCCACATCGAGTTTGTCCTCGTAATTTGCCAAATTTCTGCTTTTTATTTTTGATGATTACAAAAATTCATGAGCAATGCGACTCATTTTAAAAGAGAAACTCTCTCTCTAAAATGCTCACTTCACGAGATCCTTTGATGTTCTTTTGAAATTTTTTTAGGCACGTTCGTAATGGTAAAAAAATCAGTGCATATTGACGTTGAAGAATTCACATTAATTACGAAAAAAAACCTCATAAAGTGAGGTTTTTTTTCACACGAGAGGAAGGGCCGAGATCTTCAGCACATAAGCCGCGTGTATTAAAGACGAAGATTGGTCTCGAAATATAGAAAGAAAAGATAATTATGGAATACTAAGATAAGATTTAACACGTAACAAAGTGGCAGAAGAATATTTCTAAACGAGCACCGCATCTTTTCGTAAAATCTTGGATATTTTATACTCAAAACGTATGCGAGTAGGAGGAGGATATATTGAAATAAGAACGTGATATTCGAGTATGTAAGATTGTTACTGGTTAAAAAGTATATTTCGAGGTGATAAAGATTTTGAAAAAGTTCTCGGAGAAAACCAAAAGTGGAAAGATTTCGATTTTAAAAGAGAGATATTCGATTTTCAGGAAATCGGAATCCAAGAAAAAGATCAGTTATCAAATCCTTTACGTTAAAGTATCTTCGGATTGTATCCGAGATGGCATATATATTCTTAAATATAACAATGGTGGAATTAAAAAAAGAAAAAAATGGCTTCCGTCTGCGATCGTTAAATAAAATTATTATTATTTTTTTTTTTTGCAACATCCGAGAAACAAGAAAATATTTTTTACTTACATTTTTTAAAAGTTTTATTAGCTGTTATCCCAAAGGGTTTTCATATCGAACGAACTCTTTTTTTTCTTTCTTTATTCCGTTCCCGTACTACTACTACTACTTTAATAATAAATAGTACTAGTAGTAAAAATCAAAAGCTCCGAGTCCATCCCTTTATTTTCGACGGTACGAAAAGGTAGAAAAACAAAAAAAAAAAAAAAAAGGAAATTTTCAACGAGAAGAATTTATTTTAAAAGAACGAGACTCGCATGGCAATTACCCTTAAGTTTTCCCTTTTAAAATGCATAATATGAAATGGCTTGGAGAATTGTAGCTTCTATTTCTTCTTTCCACAGAAGAGATGAAGAGTTACTTTATCAGCCTTTATCTTTCTTATAAGCTTTTGATCCGTTTTTCTAGTATCTCTTAAGATAACTTTAATAATAATTTTACAAATAGCTTATAATGTCCTTCATCTAGTTTGGTTTTTCAACAACCAAACTAATAGGAAACTTGACATTTATGCTAGCCGTTCAGCAAAATTTCGAGTGTCTTCTTTTTTCTTGTAATTCTATGGATTATCTACCATCAATGCTCGATGGTTGGAAACTCTTTAAAGAATCTACCACTGTACTTTCACCCTCCAAATCTTTACTAGCTTTTTAGAAATTTTAGACGATGATTGATTAATTTTGATGGTTTTTTTCAAACTTGGAGGTTCTTTCGTGTTTATCTTTTCTTGTGGTTCAACAATGCCGCGCGTTGGCTTGGTTCCTGAAGAGCAAAAATCTTCTCCCGCTCGGTATTGAAATTGGTGATTTGGTGTATTTAAATTATTCTATTAAAATTAAAACTACTAATAATAAATTGAGTAATTACGCGAGAAGTTCTTTTCCTTGGTTAAAAATAGCTACCAATATCGACTTTCTCCACAGCAGTTTAAACCGAGTGTCGTTAGATAAGTGAAAAGTAAATTTTCTAAAATTAGAAATTCGTTGGGAAAAGTCATCCGACTCCCACTTATGTTGCAGAGGACGAAACTAGATGTTAGAAAACTCGAGTTCAAAGCAAATATCTTATTTTCTTCACTCCTTTATCGCTATTTTAAGCGATAACTTATAGCACACTCGAATGTGGAGATGCGAGAGATTTCTACAATA